GGCCTCCTGTGCTCATTCTTGCTTTGACCTGGGAGCCCTGTCTCTTTTTGACATGTCTTTGCATTGACATTACGTGCTGGTTTTAGAGTTTTTCCAGAGGCTGCCTTGCTGTCATCTTAAGCGTGGTTTCCAAAGACCAATGCTTGGTTTTACGTGTAATCTGACACCCATTACTGTTGCACGTCTGGCTGTGGACAGGTACTGCCTCGCTGGATAACTTTTTTGTTGGAGAAAAATTTGGCAAATATAAAAGATGCAAGCATAGGTTCTTATGTCTTACCAGAGCACTGTCTGTTTTGCCCTGAAATGGAAAGTAGCGACAAGATTATTCCCCGGACCCCTGTGCCTCTGTCTCGTGACGGTTGTTGCATTTTAAAAAATACAGCTTATCACTCATTTTATTGTACTTGTGTGAAAATGTTGCAGTGTTGAAGTAATTGGTAATTATGTGGGTTTTTTTCCTTCTTAAGAGATTTTTCTTTTGGAGAATTCACTTGGGAAAGAAATGTTTTTTACTGGGAAAATAATTTTTGATTACCGTTAAAATATTTATGGAGTGTCTTTCTTTTTCTAAAGTTGTGCCAAATCTTTGGAGTGTTGATGGAGAAGTTACAGTAACCGAACAGAAGCCAGGAGAAGTTGCCGAAGAGCTAGCCAGCTCCTACGAAAGGAAGCTCATCGAGGTAAGGCCGGCAAGTCCGTGTGTCCGTACTCCTGATGTGGCTTCTTTGGGGACTTTGCAGGAAAGGGCCCAGCCTGTTCAAAAAAGATGTTAGCAAAACAGCCAAACACCTTCCCACAAAACAAAACAAGATAAAACCAGCGTACTTCATAAAGAGCTGATTCTTTGAAAAATACTGCTTAATTAGAAACTTCTGGCACTGTGGTAAGGAAATACCAGAGAAAACATAAATATGTAACATTAAAAATAAGAAAACAAATGTAACCTCAGATTTTGAGAATAAAACCAGGAGAGAATATCATATACAACTTTGTTAAATGTGTACATGTGGATGAGGTAGACTGTTTTCTAGGATAACGTTCGTCACAGAACTAATGAAGATGAGCCCGACTGCTGGAGGGGACAAAAAACACCAACAAAAAAACAAACCCCCCAAAACCCCACCACTGTGGAAGACAGTTGTAAATGTAATCAAAGAACTCCTTCCTTAGAAGGTAGGATGCCTAGATGGTTTTATGGGGGTTTCCAGGAAACCCTCAAGGTATCACAGCAAGCGCTTTGCTGTTTATATTTCTTTAAAGCACATATGTGTGTGTGTGTGTGTGAGTGTGTGTGTGTGTATACACATATATGTACACATCTGTGTCTTGGTTCAGTGGGCATTACCCTGATACAAAAAATTTGTCAAAGATTACGTAAAAAACTAGTCTAGTCTCATTTGTATGTAAATGTATAAAAATTCTAGAAAGATATTATCTGATCAAATTCAGTCACATATTTAGAGAACAATGCACATAAAAAGGAGGGTTTATTTAGGATTACAAGGTTTAATGTTAGGAAATTCATCCATGTAAGTCATCTCATTAGTAGATTAAAGGGGAAAAACCAGATATTTATCTTTAGTCATTTTATTGTGTTCATTATTGATATCAGATAAAAATATTCTTGATAAATGAGGAGTAAAGGTACTTCCTTGACAGGATAAGGAGTTTATTCAGAAACCATTAATATCACCATGTTCAGTGGTGAAGCTGAGAGGCTAAGTTTTTGATCAAGTGTGTGTGTGCGTGTTGTGGTCCCTTGGGTAGTATTGTAAGTCATGTCTGTATGTACACACATACACATGGAAGTATACAAGTATATACTTCCAGTACTTTCTAAATCTGCCACAGTAAGTTTTATTTTTGTGATTAGAAAAACACCTACTCATTATGGAGACATGCTCCAGCTGGGGGGTGGATTTCAAAGGCCCAAGGCCTTGGAAGAGGACCCTCTAACCTCATTCCTGGTTCCGGCTGCCGTTCTTACGGCCTATTTTGTCTGATTCCTAAATTCACTCTAAAGAAGGGAGGTGACTTTAGAAGCAACTTGCATTCTAACGCAAGTGAGCTCAGGAAAAAGCAAGCTGTGGTCTTAACGAAACAGGCTGGTGGGGAAGAGTCAGAAACCAGGCTGGGAGGGTCTGGAGCGACTGTGCCTTCCTGCATGGCCTCCACCCACCACCGTGTCCTTCCTTGGAGACTCACTCGTGGGCTCGTGGACTCAGAGTTGGCTGGTGGCAGTGTCAGGGTGCTGGGCCATCAGTCTGTGCCCGGAAGGCCCACGTGGAGAGGGGAGCAGTGCCCCAGTCTCAGCGTTGTGAGGACCTGTATGTGTGTTTCCCCGAGTGGACTCTGAGTCCCTGGAAGGCAGGACTGTGTCTTGTCCTTCTCTGTATGCTCAGTGGCCATTTATTGGCAAATGGTAAGTGGTATAAATAACTTTTTTTTTTATTTCAGCATATTATGGGGTATAAATAACTCTTGAATGAAGGTATTTTTAAGGTTCTCCTAGAACAGGAATGTCTAGGTTTATTGAATGAACAAAGGCCTGATGAGTCAGGAGGGGCGAAGGGTTATCAGAGCAAAAGTGGGTCGAAAGGTTCCGGTCCTCTGGGGCAACCAAGTGCAGTTGGAAGGACTCTGTCAGCCCAGCGCAGGGTGGTGGAAGCGCCGCTTCCCAGAGTTCATTCAGCACGCTGAGCGCTGGGGCCGGGACAGCATGCTCAATGTGGATGCCTCCAGCCTGTGCCCGGAAGGCCAGCAGGGCTGCAGAAGACAGCGGCTGGCTGCCGGGGCCGCTGGGCTGAGCCCTGCTGGTTCATTCGTGGGCCGGGTGGTTGGATGGTTCGTACTAGTGTTTAACTGGACACTTACTTGCTGCACAGGGAACAGCAAGAAGGAAGGCCCTGTGCAGGGAAAGAGTGAGCAGGAGCAGAAAGGGACATAGGTCTGGGACAGAGTGGACGAGGGGAGAGAGGTGGCACCGTGGCTGGAGAGGAAGATGGGTCAGACAGTGGCACCACGAAGGCCATGTCACCACCATGGACATCTCATCATTGTCTCATCGTCACTGTGTGTTGACTTCAGCTGTGATGTGTGGAGAAGGTCAGGTGTGTGGGGGGTGACTGTCCAGCCATCGCCTGGTTGGCCTTGTCACCGTGAGCGTTGGTGCTGACCTGCCAGATGACGGGGCTAGAGGCTCAGGTGTGAAGATTTATTTCTCTTGCTGACCTTGAGCTTCCTTTGTACCCCGGCAGCAGCAGCGTCGCCGGCTCTAGGCAGCAAGCCGGGAGATGTGTGAGGTTGAAGCAGAGATGTCCTCACATGGCATTTACTACCCAGATTCATTCTCCTTTGGTTGCAAAGTGAGGTTCTGTCAGTGATCTTTCATCTATGAATAGCATTAGCATTTCATTACATCAGCGTATTCCTGAACCCTTTGTGTTCACATTAATCGGGCCCTTTACGACAGCCCTTGTGATGCTCCTCTGTCATTGTGCTAATGGGTTGATTCTTAGAGAGTCGTAAACACGTGTCAGAGTGGAGTAATGAAAGAATGTGGGGAAAAGCTGATGCAGTTTCTTTCCCTGCCAGAAGGGCAGATGAAAAAGAAATATTTTATTTTAGGTCATATGGCTATTTGGAACACGCTGAGCGTGGTCATTGATCCCAACGCCAGGGGAGTTCCTGAGCATTCTTTCTCCAGGTGTCTGTCTCTGAGAGCATGAAGACCACCTTACTTATCTACACATGCGCACTGCACATCCGTGCTTGGTGACCTGGAATCCAGCGTCTGGGACAGCTCAGAACCTAAAGTTGACACCATAAAGTCACCTTTTAATAGCTGGTGAGCATCAAGTGCCAAGGACTGGAGGTATAAAGATTGTTCTTGACACCCAATGATTAACTTTGGAAAGCAGGAGGGACAGGAGAACTGCGGCAGGTGTAGGTTAATCTGGCAGGGGTAGAAACACTAGTTTTTAAATAGGGTGATGGCCACCGTTGCACTAGCAGCAGCTGTCGGGCGCCTACTTTTAGTTGCAGGCACTGTGCTAAGGCTTTTAGGTAAATGAGCTCGAGTTCCTTGAGGAGGATGCTATTGCTCTCTCCAGCTCACAGATGAAGCTTTGAGAAGTTTAGTAAATTGCTCAAGATTCCTTCACTGGTAAGAAACAGAACTGGATTTGTGTCGCCCAGGCAGTCGAGCACCAGAGCCCAAACCATAACCCTTCTGCCTTGTTCCAGAAGGCCGAGCTCGTTGAAGAAGAAGAAAAAGGTCAATTTGACAGAGGAGAAAGGACAGTTGCTAGTGATGCTGAAGAGAATGATTGAAAGGACACGAGGTGCATTAGCAGTAGATAACAGGGACTGGCAGCATCAGCCGTTTGAAATAGCGCTGGGAGGAGGATGTTGACACCCTTGGTTGCTGGAGAAGAAGGGAAGAACGTGTCTTATCTGTGCCTGGAATGACCACACCCAAAGTGACTTGTAATAGGTCACCGGGGGTAGCTCCTTAGCGGTAGTGTGGACATTACCTTTTTAGTTGTATCTTCATTGCTTAACAGCACAGAGTAGGAGTTCTGCAAATATTGAACAGAATGCCAGTGTGTTCAGTGGATTCGGTCGTTTAGTGTCATTCTTAAAGGATGACAAATATGAGTTCTGGGACCCCAGATTAAGAGTGAATTGTATAAGGCCCCACAGCTAAGTCCTAAATATGGCTCCGAGCACCCTGGTGGAAAGGATTAGATATGTGGTAAGAGGAAATGGGTCTCTTAGAGGAGGCAAACTTTCTTCTGGCCCTCAATTCTAGGGGGAAGCATAGCTCGGACAGGCTGGAGAGGACATTGAGTAGCAGATGGTGCCAACTCGCGTAGAACACGTGCTTTGAGCACCTTCTAAGTGTCCAACGTTTAGCTTCCTTTTTCCTCCTTTGGTGGCTTCCCCTACCTGGGCTCAGTAGTGCTGACGGTTCCAGGAGGTGAACCAAGAAAGGTGGGAGGCTGGCACAGACGTTCTTCAAGGGGCATTCTCTTCCCTATACTGAGTTTTCCTTCTTTCTTGATTGCAAAGTGACTTTGGTGGCAAAGCCATCGATGTTTCATCTGTGAGTAGCATTAGCTCTTTATTTCCCCAAGGCTGGTCCTAGGTAAGAAGACAAATGCAGCACAGTGCCTGTGTTTAGGGAGCTTGCCGTTCCGCTCGTGGGGAGGCAGGTGGAAGTGCAGAGGTAGTCACACCCACAGGCCTGGAGCCATGCCTTCTATGGCAGTTTTACAGAGCTCGGCACCCAACTGCGGCTTCTTTAGATAGCTCTTCCCTCCTCCTTTGGGACTGATAGTGACAATGCTCAGAATTTCTTTTGTAAACTTCCTCCTCCTTCTTGAAGGTCTAAGACATGAGAAGAGAAGCCACTATTCTCACCAAGGGTTTTGAAGATAAAAGATATTGGACACATCCAAGATAGGTCTCTTCTAAGACTCTTGCTTTTTTACCTCTTTTTAAGTAGAATTCCTTTGGTTTAGACTCATCTCCAGCGATTTTCCATTCTATTCCAGGTGTTGCCTTTGAAAATAGTGGTGACATTTGGACTTTGATCCTGCATCTCTTTGTTGTCACCTTCTGCAACCTGGTGGCTTGGAAAAGCACATGGCGTCCCATGGCAAACTGAGTTCAGATT